TAAGCGAATTATCTAGGCTACTTTTTGCTTACAAGTCGGAGCAGCACCGATTCTACTTTTTAAAATAAGGTTTGTAACGAAAAAAAATTAATTATTAGTGCTTAGCAGTTATCTCAGTTCCTTTGTAATATGCTTTTTGCAATTTCGTATTGGAAAAGTGCTTATGAAACTTTCTGTAACTTAGGTTTTCCAACTGCTTATTTTTTTCATATCACTTCTTCAGTCTCTGCTGATAGTGACGCGTTTATAACTTCTATCCTTTGCCTTACTCGCTTCGAACTTCTGAGTTTAAGAACTAAAATTTGTTTTTTATTGTTCAGTCTTCCGAAAATGTTGTTTAATATTTGATCAGGCCACTCCATCTTATCGACCTATTATTCTAATTTTTGACAGACGAGGTGATACAGTTTTTTAAAGATTCATAGAGTATATAAGGGAGTGTATTCAGTCTTTAGGCGCATTTTACTTCATGCAGTGGAAGAATTGGGCTTTTTTAATGACAGGCGGTTTTCTTCTGCTTTCTCCAACAATGCTGGAAATTTTAAACGTACTACTGTTGATAATCAAGTTGTGGCGAATGGCAAAAATGATGAAGTTATATCTGAAATTATCTAATTCATTATGGGCTGTTTTTAACGAAGAATATTTATCTGGAAGATTCTTTTGAAGTTTATAAAAGGCTTTTTATTCGGCTTATTTCTGGTAAGTAAAACGCGAAACTTTAAAGTCGAACAATTTAGTGATTCGTAGACTCATCTATATTTCTGATCAGCAACTTATTGGAAAAGTCTTTAAGTTTACTCAAATTACGATAACAGTAATCGTGTAGTTTTAGTCTTCAAAATTCAACTGCAATTTAACCAGATGTTTCCTGAGCACTTAAAAGTGAGATCGGAAAAAAACGCAGAAATAAATACATAATAATAACGCATTATTTGCATTTCGATGTTAATAAGTTTGCCAAATTGGCGAGACAGTGCAGGAAATGATGTTGGACATCATAGCAAAAAAGTTACAGAACACACAGTTTATAGTAAATATGTCCAGTAGTATCCTCTAAATACAAATTTTAAAGCATTGTTTCTTGGAAGACTTCTTCTGCACAAACATCGTGATATTCTCAAAAAAAAAATAAATAAATAAATAGATGGTCAAATAAGGATAGTGCTACTAACATGACGCTTATAATTTTTGAATAACAGATGGAACAGTCAAAGCAAAACACCCATGTGTGTGGTTTATTCAGCAAATGATAAAGAACCACAAAAAACGACAGTTAGATCAAATTTGGCTATTAGCAATTTCCTACGTTTCGGAGTCGTCAACAGGAACATCGGTGCTTGTCACTTTTTTTTGGCTTTCATTCTCCAGAATCCTTACCACTTCTGTTTTGCCCCACTTTTGGGCCAAATCAAGAGGTGTTTGCTACAAAGGCCAGAGAGCGCTTCACATACAAGTAATAAGATAATCAAAAGAAATGTTCAGAGCACTAATCAGCAGAAAACGTTCAAATAAAATGGCAACTTTTCCAACTCAGTTTTGGCTAATTTTTTCACGAGTAAATTTCTTCAGCTGTAACTCTATACAGTTTCCTATACACTATTTTAGCAGAACAAAAAAAAGTAGCAAAACAATAAAAGCATTAAGTTTTTCAGTCTTTTCTGTGCCGTGCTGTTCTTTTTTATTTTGTTTACTGTTCTACGGTTACACTTCAATATTTCTCACTAACGCCTTAAAAAACAATATATTCAAACGTAGGCTATTAAAAAACCAAAAGTAAAGATGATAAAAAAAGTTCTTCAGTATAAATTCAAAGAAAATAAAAGGACAGAGAATACCATATGGCAAAAATAAAACGGAAAACTGAAAACCTCTCATAAATTGTACGCCAAAACACATCTTTCAAAAAAGGAATAAAAGGAATGTGGAGAAAACGAAACTGTGCAAATAAATCCTTACATCAAAAACATCTTTTGCACTAACATCCGCACCATTTTTGAGTAAAAGGTTTACAACATCAATGTGACCATTTGCCGATGATAAATGCAACGGTGTTTGCTGAAGTAAAATCAGATTAATTTGTAGGAAGGAAAAAAAAAAGTATTCACATATCAATTGTTCGATGATGCTAAAGCCTTAACGGTTTAAAAACATTTTCTAGTATCAAAGCGCGCAGTTTCTAAAGCATTCACGCACAACGTAAAGCCCTTAAAATTCTTCTACTTTAATTTTCTCCAATTTTTACTGACTTCGGTCTTTTTTATCCTGCTTTATTTTTTCATTAAGTAACAAATGCCTTAGTTTTTTTTTTTTTGCTAAGATATTTACTTTTTAGCTGACATTCAGAGATAGCTGAGAGCGGTGTCCTTACATTTCACATCATTTTTTTCATTCTTTTTTTTCTTGTCTTTTGCACCAATACAGCAGTCCCTGTCACGAGAGCTGGGGTAGGAAGCTGTATCTGTGAATTAGAATTAGCTCAAAACGAGTGAATCGGACTATGCAAATTAGGAGGCCCATCATTAAGCTATTGTATTAAATGCTATTGGGTCAGTAAGATGCTTCGTTCGACCAAAAATCCCTGTCTAAGCAGGCGCCACCTAACGTGCTTGATTAGGATGCAAAGCATGTTCTGACATTCCTTTTTGCCGAAAATGCAACCTAACGAGTGGAAGCTTGTTAGTCTTCAAGCCATAATTCCCCTAAATTTCTGTATTGCTGTAATTGTATTCCTGCAGTTACTGGGATTCGGGAATCCATTGCGCAGGTCAGTATTTTGTTTGTGATGATCGCGTAATTTGTGGTGCCTCT